ATCTAATTTCCCCAATTGTCAATGTTAAAAAAAATGCTTATGTGAATCAGCTAGCATCCTAGTAAGGAAATTCAAAACAAATTGGAAACTCTCCTTTGTTGCACAGATATAAAAAGAGTGCTGGGACACTTAAACTTGATTATGATTGTTACATTTGTAAATTTATTTTAAAATTTACTGATCTATTTCAGGTTCATCCAGAGGCCATCGTGACCATAGATTTCAAAAAACCAAAGAGAGGGAAGGTCAAGGTACCAACTACTCCTACAACACCAATGAAAGCAAATACAAACAAGCATGAGCCATCACCAGAGGAGTTTAACACATTCCTAAAGGAACTGAATGACCTTCCTGTTGTTGTCAATATTTTGTCAACAGTTTCAGAATATTGCACACAGTTTCAACAGGAGCCTGAAACTAACCCGAATTTGCCAACCCCTTTGACAAGCATCAAAATTACTGGCCCAAACATTTCCATTAAGGATGTCCACAATGCTTACAAAGTGACTCAGGAGGAGTGTGACTTTTTAGAAAAATCAACCACTCAGCAGTCAGCTTTTAAGCTCTGGTCAGTGCATCGTGAGGGGAGGATAACAGCATCAATTATCCATAGTGTTGTTCATACCAACCAGGATCATCCCAGCAAATCTGTGATGCAGGCAATTTTCCAAGAACAAAACAAACAGCATGCAAAATGTGCTGCAACCGAGTGGGGGGTCACCCAAGTATACGTACATGTTTGAGTTGAGATTCAGATACAGTGTAGGCGATGAACTGAATATGAACAGGAAATAAGAAACGGTGAAGATCGTACGTTTTATGTGTCGCTACATGTCGGTAGTATATATCAGATACGGACATTAGTACTACGACTTTAAAGCGTTCAGCAGATTTGGATTAGTAGCACAAAGTTAGCGGCAAAATGTGATGAAAACACCGACATGAAAGTATGTATTTATGTTTGATATCACAATATCAGTCAAGGTCCGATTTCAGTTTAGGACCAGCGTTGTTGCTTTCTGACGCCTCTTGACGAAGACTTTCAATGCCTACATTTGAATGTCCGAAAGGCTTTTTTTATACCGGACCTACGAGGATATAACAATAATAACAATGAAAAAAATCTAAGTCAAAACGGTTTGACAGGAGATCCGGTGTTTTCGTAATAGGAGTGTACCACAATGCAAGGATTCTACATGTGGACCAAACTAACCCCACCCACCCGAGGGGGCGGGGATACACCTGCTGTTGCCCACTGCATGTGTATCGTGTATCGTAGGAGGCGACTAATGTGGAAACCCCTGCAGAATTGTGGATTTGCTTTGAAGTTCTCTATAATCTATTTGGGGACACAAAAGCGACCAAAATAAATCTGCTGCACCCATTGCAATATTTGGGATCTTTATCTTTCTTTCTACTTCTAACAACCTTTTATTTCCTAGCGCCTTGCTTGTACAGTTTTGTATCGGAGAGTTATGAGGTGCTGACAACAAAAATCTACTGACACAACACATACCTCACATATATCAATAAATGGATTATTTATTGATCCAAAACAGCTCTTATTATCACCAACAGCTGCTAAATTCCGTCGGTAGAGTTCTCCGTTTTCAATCATTCAAAATTTCCCACCTGAGTGAACGCAATTTTTGTAGGTCATGGGTTGACTAATCAACGAACCATACTGATCCGGACCGAAAACAGGATATATTATGTGTGTTTAGAAGATTTCCGACCGTGCCTTTTTGTTGATTAGTCACTCCCTGATACCAAACGGTGTTGGAAAATTCCACTTTTTCGTACAGCAGTGTGCTTTGGCCCCACACCAGACATCTATATGTCAAAATGTCTAAGTCTGGTGTTAGGGCCAGAGGAAACTTGGGCTACACCCACCCCTATTCTCCCTCATTGTGATTATGCACAAGGAAAAACATTGCATGCATTATTCCCCTTCAATACAGGTAACACATTGGCCACTTTCATAATCTGTCAATCACAAATTTGTATTCTAAATAAACATTATATATCAGAACCTCAAATTATTATTGTACAAAAATGTAGAATTTTAGAAATATAATTTATTTGCATTGACTTTCTCTGCATTGCCATAACAACTGACCTGAGCCCCTCACAAAGGTATGAGATTGATCATGCATATTGAGGCTAGATCTGGTCTTGAGTAAATTTTATGATATCACCTGGTGCTTCAGTACACAAGATAGGTAATTGACGTGTTTTAACTGACTAATTAGTGTTACTGTGACTATAGGTGTACTAATTACAGTACAGAAGGAATTTCCTTGAGGAATTAAGGGAGGGGGTAGTACTGATATCAATTTAAATCTTGCTGCTAATGTTTTATAATTATGCAAGATTTTCAAAATGGGGAGCATGGGCACAATGTGCTCTCCCCTTGAATCTGTCACTGGTCCAGGTCTTTCTGTCAAAATGCCAAGCTGGCATCCGCCTGACATTATTCTGGAGATATCAGTATGTTGTCATATAGGAACAGCAGTCAGATTGAACAATTAAATAAGTTTTTGTCTCGCCGCCACAAAGTAGCGGTAGCGAGACTAAGGTGTTGCTTTTATGTCGACAGTGTCGATATTAAGTTTTTGCCTTTCATGGTCAGTTGACTTTGTCAGCATCTCCAGCAACATTAACTTTTTGTGTGTAAGTTACTTTCTCTGATATGTGTGTGGCAGGGTTCAATTGTACATATGATTAAGGTCGCCTTCTAGCTTCGTGCTAGAGGGAATTTCCCTTTAGCTCAGTGGTAGAGCGTCCAACTAGGAACCTGGAGATCGAGGGTACAATCCCCGGTGGAAGCACACTATTCTCTTACCTGTTACAAATGGTGTCTGTGGCCCTTTCTGTGGTGACAGGGAGTTAGAACCTGGGTTGTGGTGTTCGAGGGCGAACACATTTAAAAAGGGGGGGAGTAGTTTGGCAGGGTTAAATTGTACAGGTCACCTTCTAGCTTCGAGCTAGAGGGAATTTCCCTTTAGCTCAGTGGTAGAGTGTCCGACTAGGAACCTGGAGATCGAGGGTTTGATCTTCGGCGGAAGCACACTATTCTCTTTCCTGTTACATGTGCATTGATGGTCAAAGCAGGGCACAGGTGAGACATATAAATCTGAATGGCTGGTTTCATTTCAGTTTTCATTGAAAAATGCAAATCTATTCCATTTTTCACAAGATGTTTTGAATTATTGAATGTAGGGTAAAAGGAAAGTTTTAGAGTAATGCAACGCCAGACCAGGATTCAAATACTGGACCATCCGAATTCTAGACAGACGCTCTACCAATGGAGCGACCTGGTTGCTGACAATCGACCCAAGTCAAATTCCACTGCAGTATAATTACCTCCCCTTACAGTGCACTTATAGAGATTAAGGTCATAGGAGTGTATTGATAAACGGAAATAGGAAGTGCATCCCTAGTTGAAAATCCAATGTAGGGAGACAGTATCACAATTTCCGCATATTCTGATGTTTAATATGAAACTGATAAATATTGCATGTTTATTATTGACAGAATAGTGTGTTCTCTCAATATTAAAGTATTTCAAAGCAATCCAGGCATTAATTCATTTTTTTTTTTATCAATGAGTCACATGTGTCCATTTTTCTGTACTTCAGGAACCCGGCTACCTATTTCACTACTGTGAAGTTTTTCAAGAAAGATAACTCTTTACATGCAATTACTATATGTACTTGGTTTTATTATAAAATGTCAATTTTTAAACGTTTATAGATAATTCATTGTACACAATTTCAGCATTTATCAAATTGATATACATTAATGCAATACTAATCTATGTCAGTATCATTTTTATTGACATTATTTTGCCTAAAATTGTGTCTTTCATTTTGTTTCCTCACTCCTTTTTACATAAATTTTCATTTCAAATCCTTTAAATTCTGACAACCTATATTTTTTTTGTGGCAATTTTTTTTTCTTTACTTCAACGCAATATAACTACAAAATTGGAAGAAATTCTACTGAGAAATGGTGACACAATCCTATTACCTTAAGTTATTTTGGGGGATTTGTTTATTTAATTTTTACCACACATGGGTTTCTTTTGGATAAGGGAATGAGAGTGAGTGTGCTTCCACACAGTATTAAACCAGTGATTCACAGCTTCCCAGACTGTCATATATATGCATGCTATAAATATGTAATAGGAAGAGGAGAAATGCAACTGCTAGACCGGGATTAAACCCAGTGGCACTGGGACTTTCCAAGCTCTAGATGAATGCTCTTCCAGTTGAGCTACCACCTGGTTTCTGCATGAGGATCAGCCCAGTCCAGTTCCTCTACATATACATACACCTCCCTCCTTTTTCTAAGCCTTCACACTCAAAAACACAACTAAATTGATAGAATTAATTGATACATATGTACCTACACAGAAAAAAGCTGTACTCTAAACTTTTAGCAGACCCATACTCTGAACAAGTGATGGATGTCGCTCCACTAAAAGCTGTAGTACATGCATATGTCTGACATTCATATTTTCTGGTCATAAGTTTGGTAGGACGCCAAGCTTGTGACCGAAGGGTTGCGGGTTTGAGTCTTTGAACAAGATACTTTACTCTGCTTGTTCCAGTCTACTGCGCTGTAAATGAGTATGTGGTTTGGCAGTGCTTGAATTGTTGAATGCTAGCTGTGAGCGCTGAAACGGCAGCACCGGCTGAATGGTCCCCAGAGAGTTGAGAAAGATATTGGCTGGTTGCAAAGTCCCTATAACCATGGATAATAATTTGTGAACCGCTTTGAGACGACCTTCAAACTAGCTTGTGATGAAGCGGTATATAAGAACCTCAAATTATTATTATTATAAGTTGAACAAAATTTGGGTAATGGTATACATCTTCAGGTTGCTTGGTAAGACTTTGATTGTGTATTTTATATGCCATACTCTTAAGTTTTATATTTAAATGTGTATAACTATACACTAGTTATATATTTACCTGTCTGTTCATATGTTCACAGCTGATGAAAGACACTACTGTACAGAAAGAAAATGGAACCTGATACAGTTAAACAGGAACCAGATTTCTCTATACAACCATTACAGGATGGAGAAAACCTACCTACAATATGTCTTAAAGAAGCAAAGTACAAGGGGAATACTGTTGACATTCAACCAAGTAGTCAAAAATCTGAATGTCTGGATATACATGTTTACAGAAATATGGAGTATGGTGCAATGAAATATCAAGAGAGTTTCAGAGAAACCCCTGACAAAGATGAACCTGCCAGTGCACTGTTTACTTCTAAGAAGGTGAGAGAATTTCCTAGTCTCCATATATAATGTACAAGTATTTATAAAATTTACATTTTTACCCTTTCACCACTAGTCCATAATGGACTCGTCGGTATGAATGCATGGTAGAGTCTACTTAAGTTACATAGCTAGGGGTGAAAGTGTTAAGGAGTACATTATACCTAAATAGATGGTAAGAAAAATTAATAGCAACTATGGTTGCTACAGATGATGCTCACAAAAAACCTTCAGCCTCATTGGCTGTTTATATTAAATAAGTGAACTTCAGATGCAAGACACAAGATAAAAGAAAATTTATTTAACGTTGGTTAAATGAAAACAGACAACATTAGCTTCCAGAGCTATTATCGAACCTTAAAGGACACTGCATAATTTACTAAAGATGTCACCCATTTGATTGAATTGGAGGATTTGTGAATAAATGAGAAATTTGTACATTTGTGTATAGATTTTCTGACACTACAATAACATAAGCATTTGGTCTTGGAATCTTTCTGTGGACGACCTTGACCTCATGAATACTGTATGCAAAAACCTTAAAACATTTAATTGATGCATTTTGGGGGGAAGCAAGATATTATGCACTGGTAACTTTTGAGAATATATTTTGCATGGAAATAGAAGGTTTTTGATCCCAACCCATAAATCATATACACATATATACCAGGTATAAAACAATCCTGGCTAAATTTCCTTTGAACTACAATTGTTTTCTTTTATATATTATATATATAGTGTATTGGTATTAATATTACATTGGAATACTGTGTACATGTACTACAATCAATATCACCTTCTGTTCATTATAGGACATTCAAAAAGAAAGCTATTATGAAAGTATGGTATTTATATAAAATATCTGAGTAAGATGTGGACATGAAGTTTCAATTAGAATGAATGTACAGAATTTCTTTGCATTCGCCTGACACTCTGAGACTTTCTATGAAAAATTGAAAAAGTAGATCAGACTAGTCGTAAAATTTTACAAAATCTGCCTGACAGCCAGTCATCTTGAATTTTTGAGAGAACTGGAGGGGTCTTTCTCAAATTTCACATGAAAGTTCCCCATTGTCCCTTGTTACGCATATCTAATTTTGGGACTTAAGGGAAAACCAAGATGGCTGACAGCCAGCCATCTTGAATTTGAGAATGAAAGTTTGTTAGCGTTATCTCTCAGAATGTAAAGGAGGGGCCTTTCTCAAATTTCACATAAAGGTTCCCAATGGTTCCTAGTTCCGCATTTCAAATTTAAAGGATGGTTGGAAAACCAAGATGGAGTTTTGAGTATTGCTCAAGAAAGTGTTTAAGGGATCTCTCTCGAATTTCACATAAGGGTTCCCCTTGGTTCTTAGTTATGCCAAGATGCGAACAGGCGGTCTTCTTGTTACAGTTTAAGTTTGTTATCACTATTTCTCAGAATGTACTGGAGGAATCTTTCTCAAATTTGATATGTAGGTTCCCCTTGGTCCTTAGATGTGCATGTTAATTTTTGATAAAAAGATTGATTAAGATGGAGGACAGGCAAACTTGTCAAACAGATAAGAGATCAAACTGCTGTTAGAACTAATGAAGATGACGGGTGCCTAAATCCCTCTGAGATCTCTTGCTTCTTAAAATTTCTTTTGTACATTTACCTGAAATTATCGCCAAACCTCTTTATAATGCCAACATATTTCTGAGCAAAGTATGGCAGTATATCAAGGTGTTACTGTATATCCCTACTTTATTACATTAAAAAATATCCAACAAACTGTTAATGTTTATGATTTAAACAGGAAGGTCCAGATGCTGCAGCAGAAACAGAGATGAAAAAAACATAGACAGACAAGAAGAGAATGTACAAAATGAAGAAAACTGTGCTTCACTGCCCAGGCATGAGTTAGATGGCACCTGTACTGTGAAAGAACAAAAAAAGCCAAATCCTGATAAAAAGATGAAGAAATTGTTTATCGACTGCCAGCACAAGTGTCCACCATGTGATACAATGTTCCCGAACATTTCACATCTGATAAGTCATCTTAAAACTCACAGAAAAATAAATAATCAGAAATCTAAAAGACTGAGGGCTGCAGATCTAGAGGACCTGCAGGTAGTTCCAAAGAAATCGAAAGGTTATTAATATATTTCATACATTAATATTTCATACTTTAGAATAGTGAACTCACAGCAAATTTCTTGTTCTGTGGTTGTAAAAATATAGATTTCGTCTTAAAATGATGTTTCTGGTCTGAAATATAATATAACACCATGGTGTCCATGAGAGGGAGAGCCTACCATCAACCCCTGCCCGCGTATAACATATTGATTATCTGTCCATTGTCATATTTAGTCTATCCCATCCCGTGGATGAAACCAAAATGAATCCTATCATTTCAGGGGAGATAATCCAATGTACCAAGTAGTACAATATTGTTTTTCTGAAGACACACTTTTCAGTATATCATGATCGACCTTATTGATATGACAATTAAGATAAGATATGTTGCTTTTTACGCTGTATAAAGCTGAGGTTCCCTCCAAACAGTATAAATAATTGGTAGGTGTATAGTCTCGGGGGACAGCCTAAACCCTGGTGACATGTATATAGCCTCTGGGTCAAAACATAGAACCTGTTGAGATTGTATTTCAAACATACTTACTATGAATTATACTTTGTATCAGGGAACCAAATGCCATATTTATCAATTACAAACTTAAGTTGATGTGAATATGGGATTGTTATCATTATATGGAGCTGAGAAAAGAAATATGGACCAAAACAAAAGCCAACATTACTTTTTCAGGTCCATATACCCACAAATTCAGCTCAACAAACGTCCTTTATTGTTATATTAGAAATGAAATTATGATGTTTTTATTATTGAAAAATTTGGAGCGTAAACAAGTCATCAAAAGTGCAAAGTTATACATTTTGCTGTGAATATTTTGACATAATAATTGTAGTGACTTCAAAAAGAGAGTATTGACTTGATTTTTAACAAAAATAGAAACACCCAAGTCAGTATCAATGATTATTAACAAACGAAAGCATGGTGGAGGTGATGATGTGTCAAAGCTAATGTTTACATGTCTCTATTTAAAACTTGAATTGGAACTCATAATTCATCATATATTTACCGTCTTAAAAGAATTCTCCATAAATTGATATGATTCTTATGGTTACTTTTATCTGTTAAACAGCTAGCAATTCCGAAGGTGAATGTAGAGGTGTCAGTGCAGATGTGCAAGTGAAACAGGAAATAGAAACTTTGAATGAGGAGTCATGGCCTGAACCAGAAATCAGCAAAGAGATGAGACTCAAATTTCAAGGAAACAATTACCCTGATGAGGGTAAGGCGTCACTTTGAGTGGTATTCATGTTATTGTGAGGCCTGTTAGCAAAGGCCCCTGAACAATATGCTTTCTATACTGTAAACATATCTTCCATATCTTATTGCCATTAGAATTGTGCAAGGGATTGGGCACAAGTTATTACAACCTATCACAGCCTTCTCCCGTCATACATATACACTAACATGTCAACAATGATTGTAGACATAAGCATGAAGTAGATATCTATAATATTCACACAGGTACAAATCACCTTTCAAAATCTATTGCTGGATTTGATGAAGTGATGCACATGTCTAAAAATGTAATAGTTAAGGTCAACTGAAAGATTTGAGGTGCCAAGCAAAAGAAGCTCTAAATTTAAGTCTGTACCTATTCATACGCATTCAAAGTTTGCAACAAAATATGCCTTTCATTGCCAAAAAGTTGACACTCAAAGAAAAAGTGAAAGGCATTCTCTCATGGATACTTTCTATCAAAGCATACTTGTTCCATATGACTTTGGAAGCAACTGTTGTATGGAGGGAGAGAGTAACACCTTTAGTTGCTTGATAGCAATGCCAAAAGAGGGAAATCTGGTGCTAAATGTTTAAAAGTTTCCTGCTCTTGACCATTTGATTGCAAATTACACTGAATTTGCTACAAAGCATCATTAAGATAAAGAAAGGAATTTTATATAAAGAAAGGGTGCTGCCCCCATGATACTGAGAGGCATACTTCAAAATGAGAAATATTTGTAATATAACATAAATGAAATTATTTTGCTATAATGGCTTTACTATCCAGATGAGCAACACAGGCCCTCTGGACCTTTTGTAAGAGATTTGTTTTAAGCTCACTTGTGAGCTTATGGCATGGTGCGGCGTCCGTCGTCCGTCCGTCCGTCGTCAACATTTGAATTTAAACAACTTCTTCTCAGTAACCAAAAGGCCTAGGGTGATGCTATTTGGCCAGTAACATGCTGGGATGAAGGGCTACCAAGTTTGTTCAAAGAAATGACCTTGATTTATATTCAAGGTCACAGTGGTCAAATTTGTTCAAAACCTTTCAACAACTTCTTCTGAATAACTGAGAGGTCTAGGGTGATGATATTTGGCCAGTCACATGCTGGGATGAAGGGCTACCAAGTTTGTTCAAATACATGACCTTGACACATATTCAAGGTCACAATGGTGAAATATGTTTAAAACCTTCAAAGTGGCTGGTCGGGGAAAAAAATACAAAATATATGGGTCTAAATGCGTTCTCTGGCCTTCCAAAAGTTATACCTCGGCAATATGATGGTCGAGTTCTGCTTGCAATGTCCAGTTTTGACCACTGAAATCTCGGGAAGCCCCAAGTAAATTTAGCGCATATCTATTTATATATGTCATGTGGTTGTTTCGAAAGTGAGACAGTGAAGATAACAACAATAGCACTCTGCATGTGCCATGTCGGACTCAACTTTAGCGGACAAGACAGCAATACTATACGTAAATAATTGTTTTCAAAGATCATGTATGATGGAAGTGTAGTATTCCTACCTATGTGTTGTTGTTATATATAACGGTATTGATACATCGTGCCTGTCATGACTTTTGCATGCATCTTTTTCTTTCGCCGCGATGTTTACATTTGACCTTGTTGATGACGCGTGTTCGGTAAAATTACATCACTGATCTTGGTCAATTGAGAGTTTTAGACTGTCAGGTGACGATTTAGGATTTCTTTAATATAATTATATTTTTTACTCTTATGGAGTGAATTTCAGCAAAATTTGAATCGGTATATTTCATAAGAAGGTATTTTAAACATGTGTATGCCATTTCAGCATATATGACATTTTTTTCCTGACCAGCCCCTTTAAACAACTCCTTCTGTAAAACCGAATGGTCCAGGGTGATGATATTTGGTCAGAAGGATGTGGGCATGAAGGACTACCAAGTTGTTCAAACAAATGACCTTCACTTATATTCCAAGGGGTCAATTGTCTTAAAAACCTTTAAACGACTTCTTCTGTATAACCAGAAGGTCCAGGGTGATGATATTTGGCGCGAAGGATGTTGGCATGAAGGGCTACCAAGTTTGTTCAAATGAATGACCTTCACTCATATTCAAGGTCACAGGGGTCAATTGTTTTTAAAAACCTTAACCAACTTCTCTGAATAACCAAAATGCCCAGGACGATGATATTTGTCCAACAGCATGATGGGATCAAGGGCTACCAAATTTGATCAAATAAATGACCTTCACTCATATTCAAGGTCACATGGGTCAATTGTCTTAAAAAACGACTTCTGAAAAACCAAAAGGCCTAGGGTGATGATATTTGGCCAGTAGCATGCTGGGATGAAGGGCTACCAAGTTTGTTCAAATAAATGACCTTCACTAATATGCTCAGATAGAGGCCTACTAAGTTTGTTCAAATGAATGACCTTCATTGACATTCAAGGTCAATTGGGTCAGATATATTCAAAATGATTTCTTCTGAATATCCAAAATGCCCAGGAAGATGATATATGGGCCAGAAGCATGCTTGGATGAATGGCTACCAAATGTGTTACAATGAATGACTTTGACTCCAATTCAAGGTCACATGGCTCAAATATGATTAAAATCTTTAAATGACTTTGAATATCCAGAAGGCCTATGATGATGATAGTTGGCCAGTAGCATGCTAGGATAAAGGGTTACCAAGTTTGTAAAAATGAACGGTCTTGACCTTTGTTCAAGTTCACAGGTATCAAATATTTTCAACGTCTTTAAACCTCTTCTTCTGAATAACCATAAGACACAGGATATCGATATTTGGCCAGTAACATGTTGAGGTAAAGGGCTACTATGTCTGTTCAAATGAATGACCTTGACTTATATTCAAGGTTACAGGGGTCAAATATGTTTGAAACCTTGAAACTACTTCTTCTGAATTACCAAAAGGTGCAGGATGATGATATTTGGCCGGTAACATGATAGGATAAAGGGCTATAAACTTTGTTAAAATGAATGATCTTGACCTATATTTAAGGTCACAGGAGTCAAATATGTTCAAAATCATAAAACGACTTCTTCTGAATAACCATGAGGCCCAGGATGTTTGGCCAGCATGCTAATCTCATGAAGAAAAGTTCAAGGGTAGTGATATATTTAGCAAGTGGCATCCCAAGATAAAGGGCTGTAAAGTTTGTTCATTGTAATGACCTTGTTTCACTTTCAAGGTCACAGGGGTCAATTGTTTTAACATCTTTTAACAGGTTCTTTTGAATGATAATTATAGTCATAAGTACTGATATTTTGCCTATAGCTTTACTTTAGATCACTTTAAAGGTTACAAGTGTGAAATTTATACCAGGTGAGCGATGCAGGCCCATTGAGATTTTGAAATTAAAAGTCATTGATACTATCATTTTATGTGATTTAAAAATTGTAAAACTATCAATATGAAAATGAAGTATGTGAATCGAATCGCTTAATTTCTATGTTGAAAATATACAACCCTTTCAACACTGTAGACCATAATGGACTTATCCAGATCAATCCATCGTAGTGTTTACTATAGTTACATAGGGGTGAAAGGGTTAACAAGGTAATAACTTTCAAATATAGTAAGAGAGCTTTGATGCTAACTTATTAATTGTGAAGCTTTCAGTTCTCGCTTCACTGATTGGAATTGTTATCTGTTACACTTAATATTCTAGTTATAAAATGACTCAATATTGTAAAGTTTTTCAGTCTGTTGTATTGATGTACAATTTCAATAAATGGGCAATAACAATTATTTATTTCCTTCTCTTTCAGGACATGAAAGAAATGCCGAATCTTTTTTAAGAAACCATCAACCAATTAACACAGAAAAGCAGATTAGTTGTTGGGAGGATGAACGTAAGATTGTGAAAAAGCAACAGAGATGTTTGTATTCGTACCAGGGAGAGAACAAATCCACCGGAACTTTATATGGTCAGGATACGGATCCATTGGACAAACTGGATATTCACATCAGGACAGATACAAAAAAAGTACCAGGCAGCATCGCCAGTTGTAGTACAGAATTTAGCATGACAAACTACATACAAAAACTCTGTAAGTGCAATGTATGTGATGATGTATTTTCTTCACCCGAACTGCTAAGAAGACATTTCATGACTGAACATGCCACTTTATCTAAGAAATCAGGTGATGCAAAGCGATTATGTGAGAGTGTTGAGAATTATGACACCGAGTCTCCCACTGGAAAAATACTCTCCACAGAAAAGTTAATTGCTGAGGAATTACAGGAGTCGAACCATAAACAGAAAACCTCTAATGAAGTCACTAATGTAAATTCAGAATGGGGCATCTGTGGTGAGAAGTGGAATTCACAAAGTCAGTACAAAAGCCATATATTGACAAGACATGCAACAAAGCACAAAGGAAAATTAGGCATATTTTTCAAATGTAACATCTGTGGGCAAAAATGTTCTGGGAAGTATGTTTTCGAGAGTCACCTGAAAAGACACACAAGCAGGGAAAGATCATTCAAGTGTAATACATGTGGTAAGAGTTTTTTCCGAAAAGGTGAATTAGTTAGACACATGAAGATTCACACTGGCGTGTTTGAATACACCTGTGATATTTGTAGGAAAGGATTTCACGACAAGGGATCTTTACAAAACCATATAAGAAAACACAAATGTGAGGAAACAGATACATGTACAAATTTAAGGAAGAGTTCTAAACCTCTGCAGACAAGGTTATTGATGATGAGTTGGAGGAGATGGGTCAGTCAAATCAGTTAGAAACTGCCATTATCCACAACCAGACAAACACCACGAAGAAGCCAATGAAGGGTTCTAGCTGTAATACAGAATTAAGTATGGAAAATCAAAAACAGAAAACCTCAAACAACATCACAGACTTAAATTCTGAATGTAGTATTTGTGGTAAAATACTGTCAAAGCCTGAAGAGATCATGAGCCATGCTATGACAAGCCATGCAGTGATAATTAAAAGATCAGACGGCTTTTACAAATGTATATGTAATATCTGTGGTAAAAAATGTTTTCAGAAAGATGCGTTAGAAGAACATATGGCAACACATATAGCTATGAAATGTTGTAAGTGTGGCATCTGTGGCAAGATATGGAATACATCTAGTGAGTACCGAAGTCATATTTTGGCAAGTCATGCAACAAAACATAAAGGGAAATCGGGGACAGTTTTCGAATGTAATATTTGTGGCAGAAAGTTATCTCAAAGGTATGGTTTGGAGGCACACTTGGCTACACATACAAAAAGGGAAAGAACATTCAGATGTTTGACTTGTGGTAAGGGATTTTTCAAGAGAAAAGAACTTACAGTTCACGAAAGTGTTCACACTGACGAATATAAATACAACTGTAATATTTGCGGGAATACATTTCTACATAGCAAATCTTTCTACCATCACATGAAAAAGCACTCGGCAAACGATAAGCAATATAGATGTAACAATTCCAGGAAAAGCTCGGAAAACATCGAACAACTTGAAGCTCACAGTCTTAGAAGAACTGTCAGGCAGAATGATGAATGCATCAATGGATCAAACAACAGAAAGAAAGAAACCGTAGGATGCAAAAACACATGGAACAATTTAAAGAGTCTGCAGATCGAGTCCAACACTAGACATGTACAGAAATCCACAACAGACATGATTGCAGAAGAGATGAATCAGTTGCATACCTCGGTATTCATCGAGAGTGATGCAACAGAAAAATTGGGAAACTTGTCTTCTTTTGATACAGAATTTAGCATGACAAGCCACCTGCAGAAACCGTCACATGATGGCAAAAATGCAAACCCCTGTAAATGTGGCATTTGCGGGGAGATTTTGATTTCGGCAATGCAATTAAGAAGTCATGTTATGACACGTCATGCAACTATAAAAGATAAAAAAGGTGATTTTTGTAAGAGATCGTGCAATATCTGCGGTAAAACTTTCACAAGGTTCTATGGGGCAGAAAAACATCTTGCACTGCATACAAAGAGAGAAAGATCATTCAAGTGCAAGATGTGTGATAAGGGATTTTTCACCAAACTAGAGTTAATGATTCATGAAAAGACTCACAGCAGGGTATTTGAATATGCCTGTGATATTTGTATGAAAGGATTTCACGATATGAGATCTTACCGTAACCATATTGCAAATCACTTGAGTGAGGAATAGTATGACAACACAGATTGTGAAAGTCGCTATCAGATGGAAACAAGTTGCCTTAAAAATACTGGACAGCCTTATCTATCAAGCGACTCTAAAGAATGTGCTTCTGTATATGAAAAGATAGATAATAATGTTGAAACTGGGGGACCTGAGTCGTTCACTTGGAAGGAAGACGCAAACAGCATATGTGTTGAAGAAGTAGAGAATATGAATCAGTCCGATACCACAGTTAACAGAAACGCTGCAACAGAAAACGTTTCTAGTCTTGGTGAAGATGTTAGCAACAAGAATCATGATTTAAAAAGCCATGAAGCCATTGACTCGAAATTACAGAAACTTTGTGAGAATGATATCGGCGGACAACCATGTTCTCGAAGTGCTGTTTTGGAGAATGATGTGTGCAAACAAACCTACAGGGAGATCTCTCACAAGTGTAAGACATGTGGTGAAAGATGTGATAGCCGATTAGAACTGAAACAAGGTATGGCTCGAGCCGACACATTTGAATATACCTGTGAAATATGTTGTAACGGGTTTGAAATTACCAGATGTTTCAAAAGCCACACGAGAAAACACTGGATAGAGGAAACTTACGCATGCACACATTCTAGGAATAATATCCAAAATTCCAGTTTCTCTGATGAGCATCTTTTAAGAAACAGAGGGCAAGATAATCAGCACACCCCTGTAGTGGAAGAGGCAAATAATGTTTTTGGAAAGATCAGAAGTAGTGTAGAAAACCACAAGATTGAATTATTCATCGGAAAAAAACACTTGGCAAACACGGTCATTCACCAGGATGATCAGTCAGACTGAAAAAGTAAACATGACAAAAAATATACCGACACCATGTCATGAAAAAAAGCCAATAAAAACCTGTAAATGTGATATTTGTGGCGAGATCGTGTCTTTGCCTGAGAAATTAAGGAGTCATATTTTGACACGTCATGCAACTATGAAGGACACAACAGGCAACTCTTGCAAGTGTTCGTGTAATGTTTGTGGCAAAACGTTCTCTCGGAAGGACAGTCTAGTAAGACATTTAACTATACATGCAAACAAGGAGAGATCATTTAAACGTTAAGTATTTGGTAAGGGGCGTTTACAGCAACCCGAACTAGAAAAGGATGAACAGATTGACAGCAATGTATATGAATACAATTGTGATATTTGTAGCAGCAGGTTTAAGGAAAAAAGAGCTTTCCAAATCCACCTAAGAAATCACCATGCTGAAAGACCCTTCACATGTAAGGATTGTGGGGACAGATTTCCATCCAAAGGACACCTTGTGTCGCATCGCCGCTACAATCATACAAAAAAGACACACAGCCAATGCAATATTTGTAATAAAATGGTAAATGATAAGAGATTTAAACGGCACCAAGGAGCGCACGTTAAAAATCCTGCGTACAAGTGTGATATTTGTGAAAAGCAGTTATGCGATGTACGAGCACTGAAAAATCACAAAAAGTTACACACAGGCGAGTTCACCTATATTTGCAAAATCTATGGGAAGGGATTTGTCAATGAACTTCCTTACAAAAGACACATGGCAGAGCACACATGAAGCAGGGATTTTAAGTGCGATATCTGTGGTAGCATGTTTTACTTGGATATAAGTCTAGAACTTCACAAAAAGCAGGTACATGCTTCATGTGAAAAAAAGCAATACCAATGCGACGGCTGCGGTAAAGTATACGCTGTGAAAAGAAACTTAAAGCAGCATATTAAAACTCATGTGGAGACGGCAAACTTCAGATGTGATACATGTAATAAAAGTTTTCATTTTGAAAAGTCATTGAAGAAGCATTTAGTAACCCACAAAGAAAGAACAAGTATCTGTGATACCTGTGGGAAAAGCTTTGCTTCCCTTGAATCTTTGAAAGGGCATATTAGAACGGAACATGAAGTAAAACTCTGCATCTGTGATATATGTGGCAAGTCGTTGAAAAATAAGAAAAGCTTGAAGAATCACATACTTTGTCATGAAAAAAATGTATTATACCGATATATGTGTGAGTTTTGTGGAAAGCTATATGTTGCACATAATGAATTTCAACAACATCTACGTTTACATAGAGGAGATGTCGAAAAACCACACAAATGTAAGACATGTAGTGCACCGTTTTTCTATCTCGGAAAGTTAAAAATACACGAAAGAACACATACTGGCGAGAGACCTTTTGCATGTGATATATGTGATAAACGATTTAAGTCAACATCCGATCGCCTTGCTCATTGGAAATTGCACACAAGGGGAAAATCTTATAGATGTGGTGAATGTGGTCATATGTTTTCAACGGAAAAATGCTTGAAAGAACACTCCTGGATACACACCGAGGAGAAACCTTACCAATGTAAAATTTGCGGGAATAGCTTTCGTCATAACGGCACGATGTATAGACATTGCATTAGTGCACAAAAAGAAAAAGCAATGTTCTTAACTTTACACGTCTAAACGCTACAGTTCATTCATTATTCACAAGAAGCAAAATGAAACGGTTGCTGTTACAAAACACGTCTGTCCGTCACTACATAACAAAAAGCAGTGTAGTCGGTTCCCCGGTCGTGAAAAGGTATGGGATCACCTTTCCAAACTCCTGGTACTCCAGTTCCTCAAACATCCGGTCCAAGAGTGATTAATATAAATTGAAACAACTTGTTGCATAAGGATTTATCAGATTTTGAATATTAACAGTTTCCTATATGCTAGTCGGTAGTATATTGTGTCTTTTTAATTTTTGACAATGTAAACTTTACTCTCGTGACTTGATATTGCAATGGTTTTTAATATCACTGACATTATCTTTTGTTCCGATCAGATTGTTTTGTGGTAGAAAACACGTTTTCTGAAAATTTGTATGTTAAAGATATATATATATATATATATATTGTGTTGATTCATATATTCACAAGAATTGATGGAGGATACTCGAGAAGAAATCAGCTACTCTAAATGGATTTGATTCGTGGTCAGTCGTCACTTGAAGGATTTCATTGCTGTAAAATACTTCTGACGAAATAATTGAAAAAACTTGATGATTGGCTATAAAGTTTTGGGAAAAAGATTTGTTGTAAAAACTCCAAATTATAAAGAACAGTATAAGTAAGTTAGAAATCAATATCTTATTTCGCGATTTTGTGAATAATTGAACAAACTCGTAATATAGTGTTGTTCCCAGATAGTGATTCGATCGAAGTATAAATATATGCATTGAAGCTGTGGTAACGATTGCATCATATATTAAAATATATTGCAAAATACATTATGTGAAACAGCCATATAATGACTCGTGTAAAATTGTGAATGAAGGGTTTTGTCGGGCATTCGATGTCATCCTTGATGGAGGTACTCTTTTTAATTCACTGTCATTTATAAAATTTATTGTATAGCTTAGCAATTGTGTAGTGAATACTCCTTATATACTGTCATTGATATAGTAAAGGACACTCTTAGTTTACTACTGTATCATTGATTTAGTAAAGAACACTCTTAATTAGGGCCCCGTATCAGAGATACGGGTGCCCTATAGTAATCACTCTGTCTGTCTGTCCGTCTGTATTTCCACAAATTTTGTTCCTGGCTGATAACTTTGGTATTTATTGACCGATGTACATGAAACTTGGTCAAGATGTTCAGTTCACAAAATACACATTGAGGTAAAAAGTCAAGGTATTTAGGTTCAAAGGTCAAGGTCAAATTTTGCATCTTTTCACTAATGAATATTTTGTTATGACATGATGAAGCAAAGTTGATCAGAATTATACAAGGAGTCAACCTGACAAAATGTCAAGGTCATTGGGTCAAAGGTCAAGGTTAAATTTTGTATCTTTTCACTGGTGAACATTTTGGTATGACACTTTGAAGCAATGTTGCTCAGAAATTAAACAAGGAGCCGACTGACCAAAGGTCAAGGTCATCGGATCAGGGGTCAAGGTCAAATTTTGTAGATTTTCACTAATGAGCATTTTATGACATTATGAAGCACAGTTGTTCGGAATTACACAAAGAGACACACTGAGGTAAACATTTGAGGTTAAAGGTTAGGATCATTAGATTCAAAGGTCAAGGTCAAATTTTGCATCTTTTCACTGATGAATATTTTGTTATGACATGATGAAGCAAAGGAGTCAACCTGACCAAATGGGTCTCCAAGAAAGCTTGGTCCACGTCCCGAGGCTGGGTACATTGGTGCTCAGTGCGTATGTGATCATTTCGGAGGTGTGATTGTCGCGCGCTGGGCGTCAACGTAGCAGAAGGCTTTCGCAGTAGCTCCAATTTGAGCCAACCTGTTTGCCATGGGTTGCGTCTCGTATTCCTGGGGGAAGAAGATCCTGGTGGCTGAGCAGGGGTCGGAATCACTGATGAACTCTGGATTGGAGGGAGACATGATCCGACTTTCTGCAACATACTACTTTGGATTGAACTCTGGGTAGTCGAGAGGTGGTATGGGCTCTCTATTACCAATCGGCTGGTCACGCCGAGCCCTTGGTTTACATACTTCCAAGAAGGCGGTGGCTTAGGGTCAATCGCGAGAGTATGCTCTTCCGGGTAATATATATATTCGTTATGTATACTTTTACGAGTAAACTACTTTGTGTATCCCTGACACTTAGGCGCTGGATATCCGCGCTGATATTAGTGTCCCCTCGTTGGGCTCCGGGGCGGGCGGGGACACAGACAGTGAACTAATTAATAAACATACATGGGTAATCAAAAAAACACAGAAAAACACCCTACAACTACCATATTCCCACAATTCATCATCATGTCGTCAACCACTAGTGAAAAAACTGCAGCAACATTGTCTCCTCTATTGTTGAGGAAGGGTATAAAAGGAATAGCTGGGGACGTAAAGTCCGTCAAACCTTTCGCAAACAACAGGCGATTAACCTACTGGGTACCGCCAGTTTTGGAGGTATCAGTGTTATAGTGAAAGCACATCCATCACTAAACAGCAGCAAGGGGGTAATCTGATGCCCCGCCCTGTGCAATGACACTGATGCCGCCATACTGGAGAACTTCCAGGAGGAGATCCCAGTCTCTGAGGTGCGACGGATTATGTCCAAGAAGAACAACAAGTTGGTTCCAACAGAAACGATTGTACTGACCTTTGCTACCCCATCACTACCTTCGGCCGTAGTGATTGGTTACCAAAGGTTCAGTGTCTCCATCTACATACCTAATCCATTAAGATGCCGTAACTGCCAGAAGTACAGGCATCATGAAAAAAGATGTAGGCGGAAGACCGTTTGCCAGTACTGTGGTCGTGAAGGTCATGAGGACCAAAGCAACTGTGATATTGCCAACCTGCGTTGTGTTAATTGTGGGGGGAAAGCATGCTGCTTCGTCTCGAGACTGTCCTGCCTGGAATCGCGCGAGAGAGATATTGCGGGTCAAATATACCCGACATGTCTCCTTTCCCGAGGCTAGGACGATAGTGGAGAGCACGGACGTGGCTGCTCCCTCACATGCACAAGTGACGAAAGTCCGGTCGCCGGTTGACAATGTCGCAGTCAAGGATGCTTCGGTTCAAGTATCTGCAGACATACCTGCCTGGGGCTCACAAGTCCCAGACATGTCTGGCCAAGAGAACTTGAAAATCCTCACGGGAGACCCATCCCGTTTCACAACTATACGATAACCAACCAAAAACAACAAACAGTCTAAAGCAGCATCACCATCACAAACAACATCTTCATCAAAACCAGCATCTTCATCAAAACCTGCACCACAATCAAAACCAGCACCACCATCAAAACCAGCACCACCATCAAACATTTCACTCCATCGAAATCCAGCCAAAATAGAAAAAAAAAATAATACAATTATCCAATGGAACATCCGCGGATTAAAGGCAAATAAAAAAGAATTTCAGATTCTATCAAAAGAATTTAGACCCGCCATTTTTTGTCTACAAGAAATCATGCTCAAAAACCCAATCACGCTTAGAAATTTCTCACTCTACACTAACATTCCAACTGTAGTTAGCAGAGCAGCAGGTGGCGCAGCGGTAGCTGTCCATACACATATTCCTCACAGAATGATCAAGTTAAACACAAATTTACAGGCTGTTCCTGTCTGTGCAACATTACACAGACAAATAACCGGTTGTTCAATGTATCTCCCTCCGAGTATTGTTTTCACTTGTGAGCAACTCAATAATCTTGTCTCCCATTCATAATCCTCGGTGATTTTAATGGTCATAATAGCCTGTGGGGCTCTCCCAACACAGACCAGAGAGGAAGACGTATTGAGGAATTTATAGATAAAAACAACTTGTGCCTTTTTAACAACAATACCCCTACTTATTTACACCCTGCTACAGGCTCTCGTACCCACATTGATCTATCATTATGCCATCCATCCATTCTACTTGACTATGACTGTAGGGAAAATGATGATCTTTGTGTGAGTGACCCCTTCCCAATTTTTTCTTAAGTATATTGGGACTCCTCTTGATGATCCTCTACCTCGATGGAATATGCACAAAGCAGATTGGGCCCAATTCCAACACATGTGCATTGAAAAACTAACCATAGACAATTTTACTAACCTCGACGACCCTATCAAAACTTTTACTGAAACACTC